AGCTGCTTAAGCAGTTCAGTTGGCAGAGCAGAAAGAAGGGAGGGACGGATTTGATTGTGAAAAAGTTGATTTCCTGTATTGTTACGGGTATGGGGGTGGATGTCACTTCCCTGTTGCTAACAACATGGAAGGGTATTTCTTGAGAACCGAAAAAGCAAGCTGGTTTGGCCTTGTTCTTCGTGACCTTGATCTCAAGAGACAACTGCTTGAATACGGTGACATACAGCCTTTTTATGGAACGTTTTTGAAGTGTTAGATCATCTCTTCAAAAGGCCTTATTGCCGAAGACAGAAATCCATGAGGTAAGGTGAGGTGTGACATTCATACGGTCGAACTTTTCTAACCTTTTCCTTCCTTTCTTGTTAGAAGGCATCTTTGCAGATGCTGGTTGTCCGAGGGAAACACCCTACTGATGTCACACTCGTCTACAGTCCGCAGTACGACTTCTTCATCAGAGCTTAAGTTGCTGCTTCTGGTTTTACCGTTCTGCGATCGACCTATCTGACATTGTAGAACTTTCAGGAACATATGTTCCAGCCAATATAGCTCGGTTGGGTCACTATGATAGGCAAGTCCAACCACCATGTCAAGGTAGCAGCTACGGTAGGAGAAACAAGGGCCCACATTCAATTCCATGAACATATCCAAAAAGGTCTCAAGTCAATGCTATTGAAAAATATCTCATTGACATAGGACACCAAGTTGTTAGGTTGTAATCCTTTAGCATCAAAATCGACAGTCGAATTTCATTCTTCTCAAGTCTGTCGAATTCTTAGCCATCAAACGACTTAAGCCGAACTTATTTATCCAAAAAAACATATTTGTAAGTCACTCATTGCCATGATGACCTTATTGTCGGTTTATTACGTAATTTTTCCTCTGTCTCTCTCTCTCATTCACCTACATCACTTCTTCAAATTTCATAACTTTAACTGACTGATCACATGTTAATGTTAATTGTTATGAATTTATGTTTCAACTACTTCATTATACCTTCAATTAATCAATTATTATTATTTTTCTATGATCTCTTGTTATCTGTGTAAATAAATATTTGAGAAATTACTGAGTTGACTATCATGTCAATGAACAGTGATCAGTTAGCTCTTAACAGAACCACATAATTCGTTTGTAACATTTAGTTTACCGAGTGAAACACTTTTTAACTAAGAAACAATAGGATAATACATGCACTAGTTAGATTACACTTGATCATTTGTTACATATGTAGTTGTTAGTATAACATTTATTTTGTAACCAAAATGTCAAAATATTTTCAAAAATTGTTAGTATTCTGTGTCAGTGCATGGCTTCAGTTAATAATAATGTTTGATCCGAGAAATCACTTATTTTTATGTATTCTGATGTTAGGGAAGTAAATTTTCGAAAAAACTGACCCAAATTTTCAACTTTATCTCTAATCCTAAGTAAATAAAGTTGGCCTGGCGACTGACGAAATTTCAGCATGGACATAAAAGTCTCGATTGGCTTTTGGCAACTTGCGTCATTTATGGCTTAGGTGAAATATCCGTTTGCTAACCAAAGGTCGAGTCTACTACGCATTGAAAACATGGCCGGTAAGAGTTGAGGGTATTCGTAGGTTATTAGTACTTGATTGCAGATGTCTTTGAAGCACTGTTCATAAATCCTAAGTACAGCAGTTGTTATGAAAAGAGAATTAGGTATTTCACCGTTGTTTTTATTACATAATTTGTGTTATATGATGAAACAATTTGTTTAAAATTCAAATTATAATCGCTGATAAGAATAATGAAAGAATTCAAATTAATAGCTATTCGAATTCAAATAAGCTTTATAGATAACCAATAAACACTTGAAGCGATGTGTAATCCGTTCGAGTTTTAGTGTGCATACAAATATGGCGAAGTTACAAATACATCATCTTACTGAAGAGTCCTCAATATGACAAAATACTTGTCTTTGATTCTCCAGAACACCATAGTCCAAATATAATTACGAGTAGAGGCAATATTACAGTGATTTGTTCAAGATGCATAGATGCTAATAAAAACTGATCAAAATGCAATCCCTAATCTCAAAAAGAAAATATCAATCCTTACACGTAACTAAGGCAAATTGTCAAAATACAACAAACGTTGAATTAATTTATACTACTGAGATCAATAACACGAGTAGTATCTCTGAAAGCTGTTGACATTCCATTAGTAATTATGAACCGGAATGTATTCAATAATCTTTGTAAGGAAGAAGTTATGAATTACAAACGTATGCATCTCGGGTAGCAAAATATGTTGATTATACAATTACATAAAATGAGGTATTGTACAGGAAACTAACTTTGGCTTTTTGCTACTTGGCATACGTTCACTAATGGATTTGATCCCATGTCATTTAGCTTCATATTTTGAGACATTACAAGCGAGTTAGTGATCAATGATCAGTCGTGATCTGAATGGCTCAGTGGCAACGTCACTGGATGTGAAGCTAAATATCACAGATATACCTTGCTGACGTATGTCCGAGGTTTCCTGCCGAGTACCTCTGTAGTGAACGAGAACACAGGTGGGGCAACCGAATTGTATTTAACGAAAATTACAGAGTTACTCAGTAAAATCGGAAAACCATATCGTAAATCGTTCATTTGCAAAATATCAGTTCATCATATCAAACTGGACTGTTCCTGTTGCAAAACATCAATCCATTGTCACAATTCATGCGTTTCATACAAATTCCATTGTGTTCTTCTAACTCTTCCTTTCTTGATTTTCCCCCATCTTCTGCCGCCAGACATTACGTTGATACTCATGTCATATACTATTTATAAGTAGCTCGCACCACACCTCTAATCACCACCCTACATATCAACATAGCACACTCCATGTCAGGTCATTAAGACTAGTGATCATAGAGCAACCTGATTCATAAGATAGGACCAACATTAATAAGGACTTGATATTATTAAATATGACCTCAGTACAGAATATAAAATTATCCTAGAAATCCCATCTTCTCTATAAGAGTGTGGATTATTAACGTTTAAGTGTTGTTGCATGACAGACGTTCGGCCTATACGAGTTGTTTTTCGTTGAGTCGTATTACAAATAAAGTTCATATTTTGGGGCACAGTTTTGGAGGTTTGCGTTTTTACACAATTGAAATCATCAATCAATCATTGTTAGACCAGTATTTGAAACCTGGAAGCACTGGAGGGCCGTTTCGTCCTGGTATGGGACTCATCAGCAGTGGACATCCACGACTCGTTATCATCAAACAAGACCGAGGGTCCCGGGTTCGAATCCTGTGAGGAGCAGGAGTCGTGGATGCGCACTGCTGATGAGTCCCATACCAGGACGAAACGGCAGGTTTCAAATGCTGGTCTAACAATGATTGATAGATGATTTCAAATGTGTGAATAAAGTTCAACCGTTTGTGTAAAGAGAATTTATCCTACGCCAACCTCGGGTAAAGAGTTGTACTCACGAAAAAAACACAAAACAAAACAAAACAGAAAAGTATACATATAAATTTATTGAACAAATAATCAAACAAATGTGTATAGAGTATAGCCTTGTGTGAATGTGTGTTTGTGTGTCTGAGAGTAGATAGATCAATTATTGTTTTCGTCATCATTAATTATCATAATCATCGTCACAAGAAATACATAAATGCACATGGTGGGGGAGGGGGCAATATAAACAAACAGGACGGAGTTTTTTTTTATTATAATAAGCTGCTATATCAAAAGGTAGTGCAAAAAAGTTAAATCATCTCAATTACATCACCACCAGCACCAACAACAATAAAAACAACACCGACAATAATAACAGAAACAATGATTGATTTATTCTTATTATAATGTCACAGGACAATCAATTTGTTTATCTTCTGATTAGGAGAGAAAAAAAAACACCAAACCATATTTTTGTCCATATAAAATTTTTTTTAAAAAAAAAACTGTTTTGATAACAGCAGAAGTAAGATGAGAAAAATAAATAAAAATGGATTTTTAAAAAAAAACGGAGAACAAGTCTAAGAAAAATTTGTAAAATTCATAATCACTGATATAGAAGAACAAAGAAAAATTATACACGCACTTTAACACACACACACACATGAGGCTTTTTTAAAAGTTGCTGCAAAACAACCTTTTTAAGGAGAAAGATGAAACCAATAAAAAATAATAAATAATAAACAATCGTGTTTTTTTTTTAAATTCTGTCTCAATTTCATTTATTATTATAATGTAGGAAAAAAAAAGGAAAAGAGCGCAAAAAAAAACCAAAACACAATGATTTGATTACATGATAATAATATGTAAAAGTTAAATGCGTCAAAAATCAATCGAATCGATTATTGATTGTGCACATAGATAGACAGACATCAAACGCAAATAGAGAGATAGATAGACAGACAGACACATACTAACGAGATAGTGTTACGCACACACATAAAAAAGAACAAACTATAATGGATGGGAGAGAGTGTGAGACAGACAGAGAGATAGCACAGTGGGGCAGAGTAGAAATGTCAGGAAAAAAATAACTACTCATAACACACAAATAACAGATATAAAGTGATTGTTAGTTAATAATTATTTTCTTTGTTATTTTTTGTCACAGATTATTATTACTATTAATAATCAACTCAAAGTGAGAACCAGATTGAAAATTGATTAAATCAATATACAAACACAATATAATGAGTAAGTAGTAGTAGTAGTAGAATAAGCAAGACCGGGGCAAATAATTAATATAATGATTGAAATTATTATTAATTTTTTTTGTTAAAAAAAAGGAAAAAAAAAATAAGATAACACAAAAGTGAATTTGTAATTAACAACAAACTACGTCGTTGATTGATAAATATGTATTTTTTTTTCCTCCTTCTATTCTATATATATAATATAATGCACACACAGTTTGTGTTATTATTGGAATTGAACGGTAGGTAATAATAAATTAAAATAGTGATAATAATAATAATGTGTTTTTGTTTCATTTGTCTATTGTGTCATTATTTTAAAAGTAATCATCTTTCGATTGACTTCCAGTGAATGCATCAGCACGACATAAAGGACATGTACGTTTAGTCTGAAAAGAAATTTTTATTAAAAATAAAATGATGACATTGATTCAAAAGAGCAAGAAATAAAGCCTAACAGATATCTTTTAGTCTAACTTAACGCATTAGTAATGTGACCTACAGAATCTTTTTCTTCTAATCACTTATATTTTATAGGACTTCGATTTTCATAGTTATTATTTGACTGTAGATCACTATTAGAGACCTGGAAGCACTGGACAGACGTTTCATCCTGATATGGTACTCATCAACAGAACGCCTCCACGACTCGTGCCACTCACAGGATTCGAACCTAGGACCTTCGGTTTTGGGTGATGATAACGAGTCCCAATGTCAAGACGAAACAGCCGTTCAGTGCTTCCAAGTCTCTAATGGTGGTCTAACATTGGTTGATTCATGATTTCAACTCAACAATCTTCACAACCACATAATGCAAATTACCTAGATTACTATTGACTAAATGCGTGACGAATCTTCTACGAGTTTTAGTGTGAAGTTGTGACCAGTGGAGTTTTATTCTGTTTGAGTGTCAAGCAGAGTGCTCACCGAAGATAGTGTGTGAGGTTGCGTAAGACTGTGAATTGATCGAAATTAAACATTAAAACCGTTATATAGCGGCTCAGTGGTCCAGAGGTTTGGCATTCGCGCGTAAGACCGAACGTCCTAACATAACAATGAGACTAGAAGCAGCTACTCAAGGTCTGCTGACTGCAGAGGGGTGTAGCAGCAGTAAGCTGTTTCCCTCGGAAAACCTGCAGCTGAAGCGATGCTGCCTTCTCACAAGGAAGGAAGGGGTCGACCCTAAAAATGTCACACCTCACCCTACCTCACGGATTTCCGTCTCCTTGGGTAAGGGTGCCTACTAAGGGCTTTCAAGAGTGGAGCTAACACTCAAGATACTTCTCATAAAAAGGCCGTGCGTGACTGGCCTCAAGCAGTTGGGCTCTGCGGTCACGCAACCAGGTCTCTATGACCAACAATAATCTACCTTACTTTTCAGGTTCCTCAAGAAACACCCTTCCATGGGGTGGGCGACCGGGAAAATAATAATACAAAAAAAAATTCGATAAACTAAAGGGTGGTTTACATTCAGACCGGTTAGAATGTGTCTCTGTCAAGAGATTTGAATGCATTCAATTCAACCATTCATCGGGATTTCTATGTGTTTAGTTTTAAAAATGGTTTTCTATCTTCAACAAAACTTTCCTGCTATTTATTATGGTTAAATTAATAAAAAAAAGTTTCTGAAAATTAAGAAAAGCAAATTTTGGCGTTTCATTGGAAAGAGAAATATTCTTCGTCAAATAGTGACTTTTTTTCTTATGAAACGCTTAGTTGGAATTCAAGAACAAGAATCTCTGGACATAGGTTTTGTGCTATTCTGTATTCATCAGCAGGGGGTGTACACTTATAATCTTGATGAAACTAATGTCAGTCAGTCAGATGCAACGTAGAACTTCGTACGTAAGTACATCAGTTCATGTTGCCATACCATATCAGCACAGAGATATAATTGTCAATTCAAATCCAATAGTAGTAGAGGTAGTAAAGGTATTAGAAGTAATCGGAGAGGTTAGGATTAGAAGATATTATTCAAGAAGTATGATTCAATGAGAAAAGTTTAGAAAGTCAAAACTAGAGATGTTGAAGAATCCAGAAGATTAGGATTTGAGAGAACACAAAGAATAAATGCACCGGCGCCATTGCGAACGGTTTTAAGCCATGTCATTCAAGGTCTCTAAAAATCGATTATTATCATCTCGCCGACCCCAACCAGGTAGTCGACAATTACCGACATGGCTAAGTCCACTTGTCATTGACTTCATGGATTTCTGCCATGTTTTGGTTTGGCCGCCCCTAACTTTATATTCCTACACTACAAAACAAAGCTCTTCGAGGCAGTCGGTAGTTAGGCATACGCAACACATGTCCCAACCACCTCAACTGATGAAGTGTCATTTCTTCCAACCTACTCCTACATTACAAAACAAAGCTCGACGAGGCAGTCGGTGGTTGGGCATACGCAACACATGTCCCAACCACCTCAACTGATGAAGTGTCACTACTGCGTCTATTGATCTGCCATATTCTTACCTAGCACCCGATTCCTAATAACAGCGTTGCTCACTCAGGTGTCCCACAATATACGAGCAATGCTTCGAAGACAAGGATAGCGAATAATAATAATAACAATAATAGTAATATGAATAGAAATAATTTCGACATAATAAAAAACAACTGTGTAAAATAACAAAAAAAAATGTATCAGACATCAACTAAACTAATCAACTAACCTTTAACCATTTATCTACACAATTTGCATGAAATTCATGCAAACAACGCATTTGACGAATTTGTTGACTCTCTATATAATCATCTAAACAAATCATACATCGATCACTTTCAGGTGAATCATCATTCTGTGTATTATTGTTTAATTCATCATTACAAATCACATTAGTGTTTTGTTGATCATTATTAATGAATAGATTTTCCGAAGTTTTCAAAGTATACAAACGAATAGGTAAACTATCTAATTCTTCTTTACTAAGACCACGACCATTGTTCGATTCCAGTTGGACAGCTAAATGTAACAATGTGTCGACACTAGCCGCTGCAGCAGCAGCTGCAACAGCTGCAGCCGCAGCGGCGGCAGTAGCTGCTGAAGTTGGATCTGAAACTGTTTGAGGCAAAATCGGATTTCCATGTGAAAATCCAGTAGATTGATCAGCTGCAGCGGCGGCGGCGGCAACAGCCGCAGCAGCGCTATAATGAGCATACAATGTTTCAGACAAATCACTGACAGCGAAATTTGCAATCGATGATGCATTGTTGATTGAAACAGAGGATAGTGGCAGTGGCAGTGTAGGCGGTGGTGGTGCTGGTGATGGTGCAGGAACTGCAGGGACAGCCAATAAAAATGGAAATAAATTCGTCAAACATGCTGGTGACGTTGTGACAGCACCAACACCAACACCAACACTAGAAGCTACAAATAATGAATTCACTGGACTAATTGGCAAACAACCACTTGTTGATGATACATTAGACATTGTTGTTGAAGCAGAAGATCTTTGAGAAGCACTATTTTGATGTTGTACACCACCATAATGACTATGATAGCATTGTTGATGTGCATTATGCAATTGTTGTACAGTGGCTACATTTCTAGGATAATATAAATGAGCATGTAATATTGGAACCGGTATTGAAGGTGTGGTAGGTGCAGCTCTAGATGGTGTAAGCATAGAGACAGCATTTGATGATGGATGTCGATGATTTTGTTGTTGCAATGCAACAGCTGCAGCCATAGCAGCGGCTAATGCAGCAGCAGCTGAAGTAATCGGTTGAACACCAACTGATGAAATTGATGACTGTTGATTATCAATTAGTAAATTATCAGCTCGTGTAACAATACGACGACCTCCTTCTGTATAAGTGGATAAAAGTGATGTCTGAATTGGAACAATCGGATGATGTGGTACCAGAGGTGGTGTAACAGCTGACGCAACCCGAGTTCCATTAGCTATTCCCGCTGAAGCACTGACAACAACACTTTGGTTAGACCCACCAGCTGTAGCCGTCATGGCGGAAGGATAGTAGGGTAATGCATAAGAATCCTGGAAAAGAGAGAATAGAGACATTCGGTGTGATGTGATTGGTCCAATCCATTAAATATGGAAACTATAGTTTTAAATTCTGAATTAATTATAGTTTGAAAACCAAGAACTACTACTTGAGGACTCCCGAGAAATAAACCTATGGTTATAGATGTGCAAAAATTGTCGAAAATTCAACAGCGGTTTCAGAGATTATGAGAAATTAAATAGAAGGAGATGAAGGCTAGTGCTATGTATGTCTACTGCTGTTGCGAGCATCAGATGATAATCACGAGTTTTGCTGCATTGCAAATCATACAATTCTCAATTTTGAAGATAAATCAATCAATAAGACTATGTGGTTCACATGGTCTGATACTGACTGTAAGGTCACACGAAGAGCGGAGCTAACACTTCAAAAACGTCTCAGAAAGAGACCGTGCGTGGTCGGTCTTAAGTAGTGGTCCCTTGGGCTCCCGGGTCTTTAAGACCAACACCAACACAACTTCCTTTCGAGTTTTCTCAAGAAACACCCTTCCACGGTGTGGGCAGCTTGGAAGTGACATCCGCCCTCATACCCGTGACAGCACACGCGACCGAATTGGTCACAATCAAATCCTTCTTACACCTCCTAACATCTCTCTTATTTCCACGACCAACCCCTTCTTACATTCCTTTATCAACCCACACCGCTAATGCGAACAATTTGAGTTCACGAGAACTGTAACTGTTGATACTGTTAAAGCATTTTCAAATACACTAGTGTGATTGATGTTTAATGAAAACAAATTTTATAAAAAGAGTTTTTTGCGTTGTTCACATTTTTTGCTTCACAATTCCATTTTAATTTGTACAATCATTGATATAGACTAGATTATTTATTATTTTTTCAAGTGTGACCTTGAACTTTCCGTTTGCATGATACACTACTGATTATTTATTTATTCATAAAATAGACGATCACTGGCTCATCTCAGTTTTTATCTTTCATTCAATCAACTAACTGTCATATTGATAGACAGCGCTGTAAAACAAAAAAAAACTTAGAAAGATCACATCTTTCTTCATCATATTACTGTGCATAATAATATTACCTATCTTTTGGAATAATTGATTATGTCAGATTGTAATGATCAAACAACCATATTAAGCCTAACAGTTAACAAGTAACATTCATCATTAACTTTCATATTAATTTTTTTGGTACTTAAGCGCACTACACCAAAATGCAATTGTTATGTAGTGAACATACATACATACATACAATTTGAAATCATCAATCAATCAATCATTGTTAGACCACACCATTAGAAACCTGGAAGCACTGGACGGTCGTTTCGTCCTGGTATGGGACTCATCAGTGGCAGTGCGCATCCACGACTCCTGCTCCTCACAGGATTCAAACCCGGGACCTTCGGCATAGTAGGCGAACGCCTTATCATCGGACCACTGAGCCGGCATCCAAGGGTGTTAATGTCTAACTCGCGTCTAACCTGCGTCACTTATGGCGTAGGCGAGATATCCGTTTGCTGACTAAAGGACGAGTGTACTGCACAGTGGTTCGCTCCGTCTTACTTTATGGCTGTGAAACATGGCCAGTGAGAATAGAAGATATTCGTAGGTTACTGATTTTCGATCATAGGTGTCTTCGAAGCATTGCTCGTATATCGTGGGACATCAGAGTGAGCAACGCTGTTATTAGGAAACGGGTGCTAGGTAAGAATGGCAGATCAATAGATGAAGAATTGAAACGTCATCAGTTGAGGTGGTTAGGACATGTGTTGCGTATGCCCAACAACCGACTACCTCGTCGAGCCTTGTTTTGTAGTGTAGGAATAGGTTGGAAGAAGGCTAGGGGTGGCCAAACCAAAACATGGCAGAAATCCATGAAGTCATTGACTAGCGGACTGAGCCATGTCGGTAATTGTCGACTACCTGGTTGGGGTCCGCGAGATGATAATAATCGATGGTTAGAGACCTTGAATGACATGGCTCAAAATCGTTCGCAATGGCGCAGGTGCATTTATTCTGTGTTCTCTCAAATGCTAATCTTCTGGATTCTTCAACCCCTCTAGTTCCGACTCTCTAAACTTTTCTCACTGAATCATACTTCTTGAATAGTATCTTCTAATCCTAACCTCTCTGATTACTTCTAATTCCCTTACTACCTCTACTACTATTGGATTTGAATCGACAATTATATCTCTGTGCTGATGTGGTATGGCAACATGAACTGATGTACTTATGTACAAAGTTCTACGTTGCATCTGACTGACTAACTCTGATTGCCCCAAAATACATACAATTAGTAAAAAAAAATGTATTACAAACTTACAGGTCTTTGATGAATTAATCGAAGAAATTGTAACAGTGTATTAACTCCACGAGTTGTAGCCAATGTAGATGATCCAATAATTGATAATTGTGGTGGTGGTGGTGGTGGTGATCTTAATGGTAGCAGAGGTATTGGTGTTACAGAAGAAAATGATGGAGGTAAATATGGAGTAAATGATGGATTATTATTCGATGAACCACATGTTAAACTGACAATATTATTTGGTAAGAAATTTATTTGACTATGATCAGTAGTAGTACATTGACTGACAACAACAGATGATGGTGATGATGAAGAAGAAGACGATGACGACGACAAGGACGAGAATGACGATGAATGATTTGCAGCTAAAGCAACAGCAGCCGCAGCAGCGGCAACTTCTGTAGCCATTGTAGTTAAATTTGGATAGACAGATGATTGATGATGAAGAGATGGATGATGATGCATAGGATTTGAAAAATTACCATTCAGTAAAGTTGATTCAATGTTATTTGAGAATTGTAATGGTGTAGTAATGAAATGTGGTGATCTTGGTAGATGTGATCCAGTAAATCTGGAAGTATGCATAGTGAATTCATAATTGTTATCAGGTTCATTTGTTGTTGTAATACGTGCAACTGTTGCTATTGGATATGAAGCATTGATAAATTCATTAGTACTTCGAATAAGAGTTAAACCATTGGAAGTGGAGAAAGCTGGTATAATTGAATGTAGCATGGAAGACGATGCAAGTTGGCTAAGACCTGTGAAATAATGAGAAAATACAGATTATTAAATTACACCATGGACAGAATGAAGAAAGCACACTCAAAGTACATTGTAGTGTCAAACAGAGATTGGAATGCGTGGGCTGAGCGTACAGAGGAAAGTCACTTGGGTAGCCAATAGGAGTCAGTCAGTCAGTTACAACGTAGAACTTCGTACGTAAGTACATCAGTGCATGTTGCTATCACTAGCACATTAGCACAGAGACGCAATTGTCAATTTAAATTCCATAGTTGTAGAGATAGTAGAAGAATTACGGCTAATGGAGAAGATTAGGACTTGAAGATAATATTCAAAAAGTATAATTCAGTGAGATAAGTTTAGCCAATAGGAACTGGTTAATAGCAAGTCAGAGAACAATGATCGTCTTATACAACTTTGTGAAGACCACAACCTGTTTTTGGTCACCATCAATTTTCCGTACAGTCATTCCAAGGCTTATGATGATCAGCATTGTGATCAGCTACCACTGGCGTTGTTGTGTACAAGACTGGAGCTGATTTTTGAATACTTATATGGACGTCACTGGCAGTAAGAAGTCTGGTGAAGGTGAGACAATCTGTGAAGTTGATAAGAAGCTAACATGTAAGGACATTAAAGAACAGTTCAGTCGGTCTCTGTCACATCAAAGTAGTTCAAGCTGTACTGTTGGTCTTAATAAATGGCAACCAGTACACCTGATGAGGCAGAGGTCCGCAAGTAACCCCAAACTCTGAAGTGTGCAAGTCACAAGGCTCAAATGACCTGTCCTTGACAGCTTTTGTGAAAGGTAGTGGACTTCTGGTCAAAAACCTGAGGGGGTTCTTTGGAAAGATTCGGGAATTAAAGTGCTTTAACATCCTAGAATAAAGTCATCCTCGTCTCCATCTTCATAAAGGGCCTACATCATCTATACGACCTTTATCAGTGGATAGGTTCGCTTCCGATCGCGTACAAACTATTAGCTTCTGTCATATTTGGCAGATTGCTCATAACACTTGAAAGACTGACTGTCTGATTCCTACTCTATTTATAAATGTCTTCAGAAGATATTCATCCTCCCCCAAATGTTGTAACATTGCCAAACTTGTTTCACAACAGCACTTATTGTTCCTTCAACAGAACTGTGCTTTGGGGTTATAAGTTCAAAAAGCATTGGTATAAGACGTTTATTAACATCTTGAAGGCTCTGTATACACAATTAGAGTGAGGGAGTACAACCACTTCTAATCATCAATGAGAGTGATTCTTTTTTATGGTTTCGAACCTGGATTATTCAAGTTGTGAACGTTAGATAACTTTCAGCGCTCAGTCATTTACATAGCAATACTGAGGTTCGACAATGTGTGTTCGGGTACACAGACGATAACTCTCTATTGGTGCCATCAACTTAAAACTTCGACTTTAATGACTTGCAGAGGTGCTATGAATATAATCTCAGAGACTTCTACTCCATGTACCGATTGCCAACGTGTTAGTGGGACATGGATGAAATCAAAGCATGACTAGGTTGCTACGCGCTGATTGGCCAATTTCCTATCCAATCAGCGCCTGATCGAATCTTGGAGAACAGGGTAGAAAATTCTCGCATTGTTAGCTGTGCGCTGATTGGCTAAATCTAATTTAGTCGATCACGTGAATTTCTATCCAGAAGCTTCTCATGTGAATGCTATAAATAACTAACGTTGTATCTATTTTTGCCTTCGCCATCACCTTTGGCTTCTTATTTCCATTTAACCTTGCTATTTTGGAATATAATCTTTTCCTGTTCAACCGTGTTTTTGATTCTTGGGAACTTGTCCAGTGTATTGTGGTCAGAGAATACTAAGCAATAGAAATTAGCCGGGAATTATTTCAAGCCAGCGTTACAATACAACGCTAGGAAAACGTTGAGAAAGCAACCAGTTAGCTAGTTTCTGACATGGTACAATCGTACGAAACAGAAACTAAACATATCTTATATTTGTGTCTATTCATCACGATTCTCTGGTTGAGATCCTAGAGATAGTGTATGGATCATATTAACTTTGGTGCCCTATTATTGGTTTTTTTTTTAAAAAAAGTGCGATTTTAAAAGACATTAGCTTGAAAATAAAGTTAAAATAATAAATAATTATTTAACTAATTACCTGTGCAAATATTTGGAATGTGTAAATTGATTGTTGAATTACAATTTAAATGATCATTTCTATTATCATCAATAGACATAGATGAATATAATAAATTTGTTGGATTCAAAGTAGATTGCGATGAAGATAAATTAGCTAATAATTGAGATTGTCTATAGTTTAATTCATGCTCATGTAACAGACTACTACTACTACAACTACTACTACTGCTACCAACACCACTACTACTACTACTACTACTACTACTACTGCTATATTCATTATGATATAAATCAGGAGTAATCAATTGATTTGTCAAAGGATAATTACTGCCACATTCAACAGGAGATGGCAATGAACAACAATGCATAAGAGGATGATGAATAATGGATTGATTAGGTATAGTTGTTGTATGTTGTAGAAGAGATTCAGTCAATTGGGATGATGAAAATGCTTGATCTGATGATGTTGATGATGACGTTGATGCTGATGATGCTGATGCTCGTCGATGATGAACAGCAGCAGAGACAGCTTGAGCAGCGGCAGCAACTGCATGAGCTGCAGCAGAGGCGACAACTGCTGCTGCTGCTACAACTGTGGCTTCTTCTTCTTGTTGTTGGTGTTGCTGTTCTTCTGTTTGAGGAATTGATGATAATACAAAGCTTGTATTGGATCCATTCAATTCAGGATGAGAAAAATGAGATGATGATGATGTGAATGGTATGCTGTTTTCAATATTACAATGAGGTGTTGTTGATGATGAAGTAGTATTCGATGCATTCGGATTTGAGTTGTTAGAACAGGAGGTGGTGATTGGCTTTAAGATAGATAAAAAGTGAGATAATAATTAAGAGCATAATAAACGTAATATTACATTGTATGTTTAAATCTTAAAAAAAAATGAATCAGTCAGTTACAACTT